GCGCCCCTCAGTCCTGCCAGGCGCCCCTCAGTCCTGCCCCGCGCCCCTCAGTCCTGCCAGGCGCCCCTCAGTCCTGCCCCGCGCCCCTCAGTCCTGCCAGGCGCCCCTCAGTCCTGCCGCCTGTGGGCCCACAGCACGGGCATCGCCACAGCGCCCGGCCTTGGGGAGGACCCCCCTCCAAGGTGAGACACAGATCCTGGGTGACTCAGTACGATACACGATCGTGCACACTGCGGAAGGCTTTTGCTTATCTGAAATTCAAGTTCAGGAGAGTGTTCTGGTTTCCATTTGCAAAAGTTGGCCATTCCTAAGCTTTAACAAAAAAATCTTTTAGCTAAAGTGGAAATCCTCTCCAATTTTCCCAAAGACACAGATTTCATAGTTTAAAACATTCTGTATATCTTGTCTTTCTGTCCACGTTAATCAACCCATTTCCACCTGCCTTATATATTCTTAGTGGACTTTTTTTCCTTCCTTCCTTCCTTCCTTCCTTCCTTCCTTCCTTCCTTCCTTCCTTCCTTCCTTCCTTCCTTCCTTCCTTCCTTCTCTTGCTATGTAACCCAGGCTGGTCTTGGACTTGCTATGTTGTCTAGGCTGGCCTAGAGCTTGTGATCCTCTTGCCTCTACTTCCTGCTGCATACTAAAATACAGATAAAGCAATTAGTTGGATTTATGAAGCAAAGCTGATACATTATAACATCATATCCTAACGTCACAAAGAAGAAAAACATCCCCTGCAATAATCCTTGTTGAGGCTGGGTGCAGTGGCACACATCTGTAATCCCAGCACTTGGGAGGCTGAGGTAGGAAGATCACAGGCCAGCCTTGGGTTTACAATAAAACCTTGTCTGCCTCAAAATAAGTAAATAGATAAATAAACAAAACTTACTATGTATGTAACCGTTGTTGTAGTTATAAGGTATTAGCAGCATGCAATTACTTATTTATAGTTAACTGTCAATGATAAGCCTGATGCAGTGTGGCTCACGCCTGTTATCCCAGCCACTCAGGAAGCTGAGATCAGTGAATCACAGTGCCAAGCCAGACCTGGCAGGAAAGTCCTAGTTTCTCAGGAGGCTGAGATCTGAGGATCACATAGGGAAGTCCATGAGATTCTCATCTACAGTGAACCACCAAAAGCCAGAAGTGGAGCTATGGCTCAAGTGGTAGACCATCAGCCTTGAGCACAGAAGCTGAGGGACAGCGCTCAGGCCCCGGATTCGAGCTCCAGGACAAGTGCAAGCATGCATACACGCGCACAGATAAATAACAGTAAGAGAGCTAGGAGAATGAAGTAAGTGGTAGGGCATTTGCTAGCAGGAACAAGGCCTGGGTTAAAAACAGAGCACCCACAAAGCAAAAGCCCTCAGCGGTAGCTCCTCAGACTGCACACGGAGCACTCTGTCGGGGACTTTCTTCACCCTGGGGACACAGCAGGAGACATTGCTGATGGTCACAGATGGGGTGCTGTTGGCAGCAGTGGGGAGAGGGCACGGTGTTGCCCCCACCCAGACGCTCCCCTGTCCCCAGCCCCCCCCCACCAATCACCTGCCCACACTGGTCCCGAGACCCTGGCATTGGATCCAGCTTTTGGGTTGTTAGGGACAATGTGGCTTGCCAGTAGCCATCACCAGGTTCCCGCCCGGACACGGGCGTGGGCTCACAGGGTGACCGTGCCTGCGACGGACCGCCGGCCCGCGGCCCCGGTGGTTTTCTGTGCCTGTGGTGGTGCCTTTCAGCTTCCAGCTAGACACCCTGGGTCTCTTCCCAGGTTTGGGGCCAGGGGCGGGAGTCTGTCCTCACTGCCGCCCCTCGGGCTCAGAGCCTCTGCGGGGCCGCGGGGCCGGGCAGGGACTGCGCGTGCGCCAGCAATGGCTTGCAGACCAGGCATTTTTATATTGCTCATTTTAAAAGCCTTCCAGGGGGAATGGCCGTTCCTGGGGGCTCGGCTTTAATGGGTTTTTGTTGTGTGTGTGTGTGTTTTTTTTTTATAGAACCTCTCCCATTATAGATGGATGAACTCAGGGAAACCCCGCTCAAGAATGCAGAAAAGCCAGACGTTGATGGGGGGAGGGGGCAAGGTAAACTCGGGGTGGCGGTGGGAAACATCCTCTCAAGTGCTCGCTGTTAAGCCAAAGCAGGCCCCCGCCCCCGCCCGGTCCTGAGCTGGCCTGGGGAGGTGTGTTAAGCCAAAGCAGGCCCCCGCCCCCGCCCGGTCCTGAGCTGGCCTGGGGAGCTGTGTTGATTGCTTTCTGACGGGCCTGGGCGGGGGGGGGGGGGGGGGGGGGGGGGGGCTCCGGAAGTGAACTCCAAATGTAGATGGCTGCCACTTTGGGGAGACCCTGCTTCCTCTCACTCGGCTTGGTGGCATTGTAGCCATGGTGGGTATGTGTCCTGACTCGGCGTGCTGTGGGTTCAAATTCCACCGTGCTGGTACCAAGCTGGGTGTTGTTGGGCAGGTCACTCAGCCTCTCTGAGCTTGTTCTGTCTTGTGCACATAGACTTTGACTCCCTCTGGCTTTTTCCCCCGTGGACCGGTCATCCCCAGAGCCATGACCTTGAGCTTGTATCCACAGTGACCATCGTGGGTAGACAGCCCATCCTGAGTCCTCTGCCTCGTCCACCTTTCCTTCTGTTCCCGGCACTCCATGGCCTCTTGGGGCCTCTGTCTACCCCCCAGATCCCTCCCCACACACAATCGCTGCCACACACCTTGGCCTCAAGCGAGAGGAGAGGTCTCCTGGCTTAACTGTTAGCTCAGGAGCTCTGGCTGTAAACCCCTTTCTCAAGCTAAGGAGCTGCTGGCCAGGCCTTGGCCCCGGGCTGGCCTTCGTGGCTATGCACTGAGCCTGGGTGTGCAGTGTTTTACACCTTTCACCCCAGCTACACAGAAATTCTAAATAGGAGGATCGTGGTTCTGGGCATAAGCCAGAGGCCCTGTCTCAAAAAGGCTGGAGGTGTGGCTCCATGGTAAAGCGTCTGCCAAGGAAGTGTGACGCTCTCCAGTTCAAGTCCCATTGTTGGGCCTCCAGCTGCAGGCGGCTCTTCCTGCGTGGGTCAGGGCCTCCGGGTCTTTTCATGACCTCTCTCAAGGACGCCAGCCATTGGTTCAAGGCCCCTCACCCTGGGTGGCTGCTCCCTGAGGAATTGTACCTGCAGGGACCCCACTTCCAAAGCAAGCCATCTGCGAGCCTCTGGGTGGCCTGAGTTTGGGGGACACAGCAGGTGCTCACTGAGATGGGGCCAGGTGGACGGGGCCCAGCTGTCCCCCAGCAGCTGCCCCTGGATCCCACCCTCTGCCCCACCTCCAGGCATTTGCTGTTGCTGGCCCCTGTGTCTGGCCACCTCAGCCGCCCTCGGGGCTCCTCCCTTGCTGTCACCAGGTCACACGGTCATTAAAACCTGACCGGGTCGGGCGCTGGTGGCTCACCCCTGTCATCCTAGCTACTCAGGAAGTTGAGATCTGATGATCATGGTTCAAAGCCAGTCCAGGCAAGGAAAGTCCATGAGACTCTTATCTCCAGTAAATCACTAGAAAACCAGAAGTGGCACTGTGGCTCACATGATAGAGCTCTCGCCTTGAGCTGAAGAGCTGAGGGACAGCGCCCAGGCCCAGAGTTCAAGCCCTGTGACTGACAATCCCACAAAACACTGACCTGGCTCCCTGCCCCCTATCTGGCCTGGCCTTTCTCCATGCACTTATTCATTGCCACTGGGTCCCTCCCCATGCTGTGTGCTCACCCCCCCCCCCACCTGCACGGAAGTCCCGGGGACAGCACACCTTCCCGGGTGCAGAGCGCATGCTTGGCCGGCAGCGCCAGGGTGGGTGAGGCGATGCTCAGCCTCCGGCCCGCCCTCAGCCCCTCTCCCCTGCCCTGTGCCCACAGTTCTGTGCCTTCCTGCTTCCGCTCTAGGGCAGAGCATCAACCCCAAGCTGGCGGGGCTGATCGGGCGGCACGGGCCCCAGAACAAGCAGCCCTTCATGGTGGCCTTCTTCAAGGCGACGGAAGTGCACCTCCGCAGTGCCCGCTCCACGGGGGCGAAGCAGCGCAGCCAGAACCGCTCCAAGACGCCCAAGAACCAGGAGGCGCTGAGGCTGGCCAACGTGGCAGGTACGCTCGGGACCCTGGGGGAGGGAGGACCGCCAGGTGGAGGACCAGGAGCCCCATAGGCCCAGCCAAGGTCACGGGAATCGGTGCGGGTGCCGAGCAGATGGGTCTGCAGCAGACTCCGTCGCTTGCTATGTGGAGCGAACGTCCCCATCCTGTTAAAAGCCGTGAGTTAGTCTAGAAATGCGAATAGCAGAACACACATAGAACAAGGTGCCCATTGTGTCCGTTTCTACATAGACACAACAGCAGCTTTACCAATGCCCACTGGTCTGAAGGGGAGCCATGCAAACAGGGTGGGGCGGCTTTGGGGGAGGAGGGGGAGTCACTCCTTCAGAGCAGCAAGGGAGGGGGCCGGTTTGCTTCCTCTGTTTCTTAAAATGAAACACATGTGCAGTTTGGGCTGAGCGTGGTGGCTCGTGCCTGTGGTCCTTCTCACTCAGGAGGTGGAATTTCAGGAGGGTCAAAGTTTGCAGCCAGCCTAGCCAAAGAAGCTAGCAAGACCCCATCTCAACACGCAGCTAGGTGGCTAGATAGAGTGGAGTATGCCAGTAACCCCATCTGGATGGAAGGATGTGTGTTTTTGGATCCCAGTCTGAGATTGGTCCTGCAGGGGGTCAGGAGACTAAAACTATCTGGAATATAACTAAAGGGCTGGGGGCCTGGCTCAAGTGGTAGAGCACCTGCCTAGTTGAATGTGAGGGTCTAAGTTCAAATCCCCAGTACCATCAAAAACCAAAGCGAAAAATGTGATCCACTCAAATCATTTTTCAGTATGAATGAGAGGGTTTTAATTACATCTTATTTGGGTACTTTTAGATTTTATTTGAAATGTTTCATCACTATAAGGTAAGCGCATGAAAGATGGAGTCATCATTTTTCATTGTGAGCAACACAGAGGCTCTGAGAAGGGCCAGAGGTGAGACCTCTCCTCGCTGCACGCGCAGGTGCACACGCAGGTGTGCATTCACCTGCTGTGGGCAGTCACACGCACAGTAGACAGGCACAGGTCCGAGCTGTTCTTACAAGATGGTGCCGTTGAGGCCAGACACTGCTGTAATCCGTGTTCCCAGCCCCACGGAGTCCAGTCCTGAGTGTGGGTAGGGATCTCCTGTGGCTTCTCTTCTGGACTCTCTTCTAAGCTTCACAAATGCAAAATCCAAATGCAACTCCAATGGATCCCTTCCTCTCTGGGGACCCTCCCTGGTCTGGGGTTCAGTTGCGGAAGCCGGAAGGGGCCACCCCAAGGGGTCATTCAGATGGGTCATCGGCCACGTCTGTGTGGTGACAGGCCCCAGGGGAGGGGCAGGGGGGACCCTGGCACTCTCCAGGGGTGCAGATGGGCCGCCATGGGCAGTGAGCTCCGAGTCCCGAGCGAGGCTGGGCTGGTCCTGCTGCTGCTGGCTGTAGACCCAGCAGGCGATGCAGGTCTGTGGTGGGAGGTTTTGTGGCGTTTGGAGGCTATGGTGGCTGGAACGCGGTGGTGATTTCCCTGGGAGCCATGTCTTGGACCTCCGTCCCTAGATGAGGGGCAAGTTTCGTGCATTGTGAGGTTGCACCGAGAGAGGTGGGTGCAGGAGGGTGCGGGGGCCAGCTCAGAGCCCAGAGGCCATTGGAAGCTCTCGTGAACCCTCCTGGAAGAAAGTACTGTGATGCCCCCATCCCAGCCATGCCCCCCACCCCCCAGCCCTGCCAGGTGTGTGCTGAGAGTGAGGAGACAGAACAGCCCAGCCTTACCCCCAACTTCCCACAGCATCCTTTCCGGCCCTCTGGGGGGTATCTGCCCCCTCCAAGGACCCCCCACTGCCTTACACAGCAGCTGCTCCCCTGGTTTGGGATTGGCTCCTTCCTGTGCGTCTCAGTGCCCTGGGCTTCTAAGTTCTTCTCAGCCCTGCCTGGGAGTTTAATTGAAAGCCAGCTGGGCCTGGGCGGCACCCTGGGCTCTGAGCCCAGCCGGCGTGCATGGGCGTACCCTGAGTGTTTGAAGTGCCCCTGCCCCACGTGGCCCTGAGCATTTGCAGCGCCCCCCCCCGTGGGCTGTGGGGCCACACAAGTTGCGTTCTCTCCCCATGCAGCCTTTGTGTGTGGAGCCCGTGTCGCCACTGCTGTGAGCATCTTTCCCGGAGGCTGGCCTCCTGCCGCCGGCCTCCAGCTGCTCCTCAGATGATGTGGCTTAGGGTGGGCAGCCTGCCTGGGTCCCTGGTCCCCTTTGGGGCCCAGCACCCTGGCAAAGGCCACCTTCACCAGATGGCCCGCAGAGTGGCAGCCATGTGCATGCACCGGTCCTGACTTGGTGGCTTCCCAGGGCTTGGGGGAGGGGGGGACTGGGCTGTGGGGGAGGGGCGCTGGCATCCAGGTGCTTTGCTCTGAGAAGTCACCTGGCGCAGCCCGGGAGCTGCGGCCTCTCCAAGCCAGTGGAGTTCCAGAGGTCCACACTCGGAGCCCGGGAAGAGGCTGTTGTGACGCTGGCTTGGTGTTGAGGTGGCTCTGAGTCTGTCAGGCAGCTTTGGCGAGTGTCCAGGAGAGGAAGACAGGTGTGGTCAACAACACATCAGCCCCTCTCAGTGTGCAATGTGAGTGTGCATGGGAGGGGGAGCGCAGTGTACGTGTGAGCAGGGGGGAGGGGGAGCGCAGTGTGCATGTGTGTGTGCAGGCGGCAGCTATGCCTGCAGCTTTGCCAGCGCTTACAGCCTATCTGGAAAGCCGCTGCCCCGCTGCGTGTAGGAGGCTTCAACGTCTCCACCTTGCAGCCCTCCGGCTTCTTCTTGGTGGTGCCAAGGGCTCCGTCCTCCGTACCCCCACTTCCTGCCCCCCACCACGCCACTCCAGAGGACTGTGGTGTGAGGCCAGCCTGGGCAAAAAGTGAGCAAGACGGCATCCAGCCAGGCTAGCACCGCACCTGTGAGCGGAGGCGTGGGTACAGGGCTGTGGGCTAAAGCTAGCTCGGGGTACAAACACCACAAAGATCACCTTAGAAACTAAAAAAAGAGCAAGAGATCTCAGGGCATGGCTCAAGTGGTAGAGTTCCTACCTAGTAGGCAAAAGGCCCTGAGTTCAAATCCCGATTCCATCCACCAAAAGACTAAACAAAACAAAAAACACGTATCAGATCAGGTGCAGTGGCACATCCCTGTAATCCCAGGTAAGGAGAGAGCAGAGGATCATTATGAGGCCAGCCCCCACAAAAAGTTAGCAAAATGCTTCCTAAAAAGTAGACTGAGAGCTGGTCAGGCAGTAGGGCCCAAGTGGTAGCTCGAGGCCCGGAGTTCAATCCCCAGTATTGGAAAACAAAAGAAAACAACCCTCATACACATAAAGGAAATAATGTCTACAAAAGATCTGGAAAGTGCAGACCTTGAGCCGTAGTGAGGGGCGGTGGGGAGTGAGGGGCGGTGGGGGCGCCCTCCTGCTGGGGTCGCTGGGCTGGAGGCCTGGGTGCTGCCCCCGGAGGGCCTCTGACCGCCTGTGCCTGTCTCTCCTCCCGGGCTCTGCGCTCGCTCTCCACCAACGATGCAGAAAACAGCAGCAGTGACCAGAGGCAGGCGTGTAAGAAGCACGAGCTCTACGTCAGCTTCCGGGACCTGGGGTGGCAGGTAAGGGCTGGTCAGGGCCGGTCAGGGCCGGTCAGGGCTCTGAGGCTCACCAGGACTCTGGTGTGGCCAGGCGAGGGGCTGCTTCCCCAGTGCGGTGAGTGGGGACCAGCTTGGCCTCTTGGCCAGTGTGTGCCCCAGTGCTGGGTGGACTGGCAGGGGAGGACTAGGGTGAAGGGTACGGGGAGGGGGGTCCCTGAAACCTGAGAGCAGAATTGGGATGGGGCCCCGGTGCAGCTAGGATCCCTGACCCTTTGGACTCTCCACGTACCCGGCCCCGCCTGTTGCCCTGTGGCCTGCTGCTTCCCCACGCCTGGCGGGGAATGTGGAATGCGGGGCATGGCCGGCTCCCCCTCTGCCCCGGCCACCGGCCCTCGCGTGGTTTCCGGGTGGGATCGTGGGAGCGCAGCCCTTCGACCGCGTCCGCCCAGGTGGAGAGGGCGGGGAGGCCCCTCAGCAGCTGCCGGGCGCACCGCGGCCTTCGGGGCTCTGTGTGGTGCAGCGTGGCTGAGCACGGGACTGCCCCACGGAGCCCAGATGCTATAAGATGGTGCTGTTCTCCATGTGGGAGTTCTGTGGGGAACCCAAGGAGAGAGCCAGGGGGGGCCAGTCCAACGGGGGAGTCCAGTGCGGAGCCAAGAGGATCTGCTGAGAGAGCCCCCTGGGGAGTGTGGGGGAGAGCCCCAGCAGGGGTGTAAGGGAGTCCGGTGAGTGAGCTCAGGGGGGGAGTCCCGTTTCTCCAGCGCGCTCAGGCCAGTCGCCCACAGAACACAGGTGCCACGGCAGCACGGTGGTCTCCTGTGGTGTGTCCTGGGATTCACGGTGATGCCATGACCAAGGGTGGCAGGGAGCACACGTGGGCCGGAGCTGGGCAGAGCCCCAACTCCAGGGGCGTCTGCGGGAGGCCTGGTGCGCCCTCACCGTGAGGGGCTGCACGGGTGCTTGGGGGACCCCGAGGACCAGCATGGAACGGGCCCAGGGCCCCGTGCCCGTCTCTGCTGTCGGCATCTGCCACCGCGTGGCGGCTCCCTGGTCTCCTGGCAGAGAAATACACCCAGAGCGCGGAGGGCTCCTTCCGACAGGCTGCAGCTGCTGAAGCTTTGGGGTGTGGCGGAGTGGGTGCTAGACCAGATCTGCCTGGCACCAAGCCTCCCCTGCTGCTGCCCCTGCCGCCCGGGAAGCATGGCTGCTCCAGGCATGCGCTTTCTGCCGCGGCCCGGCCCTGCCGCCCCTTGCCCTTGGCTTTCGTTCTGCGGCGAGCGTGAGCAGCCACGCTCGTTTCCCTGGGCCCTAGCCTCCGCTGACCTTGGCCCTGGCCGCCTGTGCTCCTCTCCCTGGGCAGGACTGGATCATCGCACCCGAGGGCTATGCGGCCTACTACTGCGAGGGAGAATGTGCCTTCCCGCTGAACTCCTACATGAACGCCACCAACCACGCCATTGTGCAGACGCTGGTGGGTACTCCCCGCCTGGGTTGGGGGGTGTAGGGGGATGGGGGCACGAGGGAGGCAGCACAGTAGAGGAGCCGGGGCCACTCGCAGGGACTCACGCCTCTCACGGAAGTCCACGCTCGGTGCGTTACAGGTCCACTTCATCAACCCGGACACGGTGCCCAAGCCCTGCTGCGCACCCACCCAGCTCAACGCCATCTCTGTGCTCTACTTCGACGACAGCTCCAACGTCATTCTGAAAAAGTACAGGAACATGGTGGTGCGGGCCTGCGGCTGCCACTAGGCCCTCCGGGAATCCAACCCTTCCGTCCACGCTTCTCCGGATCCACCCAGAAGCTCCCGAGGACCTCCCCCATCCCCGGGACCTCTCCCCTCCCCAGCTCACTGGGGCCGGAGCTTCGCTTGCTTGGTCACCTGTGGATGAGATCTTGGCCAGCTTTGCCAGAGAAAGACCAGCCGGAAAAATAACCACAAAGAGAACCAGCCGGGCCCAGGCGCGGCTGTGCAGCCGCGCCTCTGTGCAGCCCCGCCTCCGCGCAGCCCCGCCTCCGCGCAGCCCCGCCTCCGCGCAGCCCCGCCTCCGCGCAGCCACGCCTCCGCGAAGCCACGCCTCCGCGAAGCCACGCCTCCGCGAAGCCACGCCTCCGCGAAGCCACGCCTCCGCGAAGCCACGCCTCCGTGCACTGCGCAGCGCTCCCTGCCACCAGTGGCACCGGTGCGGAGGAGGGGCGCGGCCAGGAGTGGCGCCCGCGGTCTCTGTGCTGAAGGGAGGCCCAGCGGAAGTTCCTTTACTAAATGTCACAATAAAACGGATGGATGAAAGCGGCCAGGATGTTACAGATATGTTTCCTAAACAGTTTATCCCCGTTTCTTGGTTTGCTCTGATTTTGTAAACAGAAGCTTGTGGCCGGCGGAGGACAGCGAGGCCCCATGCCGCTTGGTTTCGGTCTGAGGCTGCAGGGGGCGTGTCCGCACACACCGGACTGCGTCAGAGATTCCAGGGAGGGGAAGGACAGCGGTCTGCTTGGAGGAGGAGGAGGACGGGAGCATGTTGCAGAATGCAGGGGCCCCCACGCCACGTAGCAGGGGATACGTGAGAAACCGCGGAAGGGACCGGGCAGCAGGTAGGATGGCGCACAGCTGACCCGTGACATTGAGAAGCACCGAGGGAATGAAGCCTGGCCTCCTCTGATGGAGTCCATGGGTGGCTTCTCTCCGGCAGTGCCCTGGTTTCTCAGAATGAGGGAGAGAGCGTGGATGTGGGTGTGTCTCACGTGTGCAGGGTGTGCCAACAGCCAGCTGCAGACAGCGGGTTGTAGAGGGCGATCCGACCACGTGTCCGACTTGGGGATGGCATTTCGGATGTGGCTCTTGGGACGAGTCCTCCTTGTGAGTCCCATCACGGGATTGTCTCCAGCACAAGGCCTTGGAGAAGCCGTGTGCGCACATTTCCCGAGTTTGCACCAACGCATAGGCTGCCCAGGCAAGCCTAGTGGCCTTGTGGAGTCCAGCCCCCTGGGAGCCCCTCTCCGCCTCCGTGGAGTTGCTTCCTGGGTTCTGCTCGTACGCTCTTATTTTTTCTCCTTCAGTTGCTTGGGCAACGGCCTGGACGCCGTGTGGCCACGGGAAGGGGCAGCATTTCTGTTTCACCCGTTTTGTGTGCTGGCCCATCTCCCGCTCTTGGTCTGCCCACATGCACCGCTCCTACCTGCCTTGGGTTCTCATGTGTATGTTTAAACATGTAAATAGTTGTGACAAGACAAAGAAATTATTTATTTCCATCAGAAGCTCTCCCGAAAGCTCTTTGCATCCTTGTTGGGGACCAGTGAGCTCGCTTTCTTACAACCTGTTTGTTTTCTTATTTAAGACTATTTATTAATGGTTGGACCAGTTGTACCCATGGCTGTTTAAGAAAGTGGTCCTTAGTGGAAATTCTGTATGAATAGATGAAATAAAAGGGTTTTGAGTTTGCAGAACAAGGAGGCTTGTGGTGTGGTTCTTGGCCTGTCGGTTTGTCCTCTCCCCACTGGGCCGTCCTTGGATTTCCCAGAGTGCCGCACAGGGCTTCGGCCCCCACCGCAAACTCGCCGTTTCTTGTCCAGGCCTGGGGCGAAGCGAGCGCCCGTCGATACTTTACTGCAGCTGTGTACCGCTCTGGGCCGCAGATGCATCCACGCAACAAATGGGACTCTGGTAGGCCCTGACTGCAGAGATCCTTGATTGAATTACAGCCCAGCTGTCAGCAGCTGCTTCGGGGGCGGGGCGGGGGGGGGGTTAAATGAGCACTGTTTACGGCTAGCATAGCTGAAAGATTCAGTCATCCCAATAAAAGCGAGGCACAAGAGCAGAAAAAGGGTGGGGGGGTGTGGAGGGATGTTCACCCAAAACTTGAAAGCAGCCGTGGTCTACCGCACAGCCCTTGAGCAGTGAGGAGCTGCTGCCCTGCAGGCCAGGCCAGCGGGGACTGCGGCTGCCAGGCAGGGCCGGGGGGGGGGAGGGGGGAGGGCAGGCACACCCCACTGCTCTGGGTGTGCTGAGCTCCAGGCTTTTTGAAGTGTGACTAAGGTCACCTAATAGGTGCAGTTTAAGTCACCCCTCCGGTACTGACCCCTGGCCCCTGCGACTCTGGGACTGACCCCTCTGATACTGACCCCTCTGGTACTGACCCCTCCGGTACTGACCTCTCTGCTACTGACCCCCTCTGATACTGACCACTCCGGCACTGACCCCTCTGGCACTGACCCCTCTGGTACTGACCTCTCTGCTACTGACCCCCTCTGGTACTGACCCCTCCGGCACCAGCCCCTCCAGCATCGACTGGCCCAGCCACTGTGCCTAATGAGTTCCAGCCGTGATTACCACACTCTCCTGTCAGTGCTCTGCTGTACAATTTCGCCTTTGTTCTCGTTTCCAGGCCAGAGACCCGAGGCCCAGATGTGGCCCGAGGATGTCTTATTCCCCGCAATGCTGCTCACACATTTTTAAAATGTCAATTCACTGCCAACATGTTTTCTTTTAAATCAGAAGGTAGAGGGGAAAGTCCCCAAATCTGTCTTCTCTTGAGTAACCAGCCATGCTGGCCACCTGGCCGCCCCTGCCCACTGCCCTGGCCGGGGACGGGCGAGGCTGGCCGGCACCGCAGCCTCCACAGTGCCCTGCGACCCCTCACAAGAGGTGAAGGCCAGCGACTGGTTAAGAACGGGCGGGTGCACATCTGTTCATGCCCATGTTCCCGTGAGTGGGCGTGGGAGGTGAAGACGGAAGAGGCACTGGCTGCAGGAACGCGAGCCTCCGTGGCATTGCTCCGTCGTGGCGGGCCCCGTGGCTTCGCTCCGCCGTGGCAGGCCCCGTGGCTTTGCTCTGCTGTGGCGGGTCCCGTGGCTTCGCTCTGCTGTGGCGGGCCCCGTGGCTTTGCTCCGCCGTGGCGGGTCCCGTGGCATTGCTCCGTCGTGGCGGGCCCCGTGGCTTTGCTCCGCCGTGGCGGGTCCCGTGGCTTTGCTCTGCTGTGGTGGGCCCCGTGGCTTCGCTCTGCTGTGGCGGGTCCCGTGGCTTTGCTCTGCTGTGGTGGGCCCCGTGGCTTTGCTCTGCTGTGGCAGGCCCCGTGGCTTCGCTCTGCTGTGGCAGGCCCCGTGGCATTGCTCCGTCGTGGCGGGTCCCGTGGCTTTGCTCTGCTGTGGTGGGCCCCGTGGCTTCGCTCTGCTGTGGTGGGCCCCGTGGCTTCGCTCTGCTGTGGCAGGCCCCGTGGCTTCGCTCTGCTGTGGCAGGCCCCGTGGCATTGCTCCGTCGTGGCGGGCCCCGTGGCTTCGCTCTGCTGTGGCAGGCCCCGTGGCTTTGCTCCGCCGTGGCGGGTCCCGTGGCTTTGCTCTGCCGTGGTGGGCCCCGTGGCTTTACTCTGCTGTGGCAGGCCCCGTGGCTTTGCTCCGCCGTGGCGGGCCCCGTGGCTTTGCTCCGCCGTGGCGGGTCCCGTGGCTTTGCTCTGCCGTGGTGGGCCCCGTGGCTTTACTCTGCTGTGGCAGGCCCCGTGGCTTTGCTCCGCCGTGGCGGGTCCCGTGGCTTTGCTCTGCTGTGGTGGGCCCTGTGGCTTTGCTCTGCTGTGGCAGGCCCCGTGGCTTTGCTCCGCCATGGCGGGTCCCGTGGCTTTGCTCTGCCGTGGTGGGCCCCGTGGCTTTGCTCTGCTGTGGCAGGCCCCGTGGCTTTGCTCCGTCGTGGCGGGCCCCGTGGCCATGTCCCTGGCTTGTTTCCTCTGCCTTCCTCTGGCCTGGTTCACACTTCCTCCCTCCCCTGCCTGCTGCTGCTGCACACAGACAGGCAACGAGCGTCACACGTCCCCCAGCTAACAATGGCTGGACCAGGAAGACAAACCCCCTGCCTAGAATCTCCTGGGGCTGCATGGGAAATGGGATCCCCGGCTCTCAGCTTAGTCCCCCCAAACCCTGTCCGCCAGGCTCCACTCCGGGCTGTGTTCAGGGCGTGGGCCTCCATCCCGTGGGCTCGGCGCTCCTAGGCCTTGACCTGAGGCGATCTTGACCTGCCGGTGTACTAACAGTCCTGACCCTGCTGCTCACTCCCAAGGGTCCCCATCTGGCCGCTGGGACCCCATGAAGGCGGGGATATCCCAGCCCTTCCTTCTCCAGATCTGGCCTATGGTGAGCGACCATTGCCGGCATCACTGCAGCCAGTTTCCACACCTCCGCAGCTTGGAACAACAGAACTTGATGGGCCTCTGGAGGCGTGGGAGGCCCAGCGTGCCTCGTCGGCATCCCTTGGCTTGTGGTCCCATCACCCAGCCTGTGCCTCCTCCTGAGGCCTTTACTGTCTCTCTGTGCGTCACATTTGGGGTCCGGCATAGGCTGCAGGCTGATCCACGCAGAAGACTCCCCGGCCACACATGCAGAGATGTAGCCCCGGGCTCCCGGCTCTGGGGGTGACCCTCCTGTTCTGGAACCCTCGTTCTACTCAGTCTCCAGGGTCCTTATCACTTACTGGTGCTGCCTCCAGCCCGGCTGAGCGGCCATGCTGGGGCTCAGGCTGGCCCCTAGGATCAGGCAGGTCCTGGGCTGAGGGGCCTTTCTAGGTGCAGGTGCTGCTCAGTGCTGCCAGCATGAGCCCCCCTTCCCGTCCACGGCACCCACGGCAAGCGTGACCATCCCCTCACCCCTCTCCGCCTGTGCCTCAGTGCCTCCTGGCTCGGGGCCCGCCGTAGTCTGGCGCTGGCCTGTCTTGGTCCTAGATTTGAAGAAGTAAAAATAGAAGAGGAAAACTCGCAGCTCTCCAAACCTCTGGGGTTTTGACAGCTGCTTAGACGGCGGTGGATGCACCTGGCCCCGCACAGCCCCGCTGCCCTGGCAGACGCTGCTTCTCCCCAGCCCCTGCATGATGGGATCGTGGTGACCCCCCAACTCCACACACAAAGCCCGGAGCTGCCCCCTTCCCCCCCCCCCCCGCCCCACTGGCCCGTTACAAGCCAAGCCCCAGCCACCGCCAGCCAGGGCGCCGGGCCTGCT